TGATGCAGAATAAGATGACCTGTTGGGAAAGATACTGCCTTTGAAGTTCCAAGTGAAATGTAAAATGTTCCACAATGAGGTGGACGAGCTTTGCATTTTTACACAATCTTAACAAGAAGGAAGCTTATAAATTAAGTTCTCATATGATGCATTCTAAGATGAAAAGAGAACCTGCTGCAGTTGTAAAGATCGGTTACTTATTTGTAAAGCACATTTGCTGATGAGTGCAAGTTTTACATTGCCTTCTTTTTGGCAAAAAAAAAAATGTGATAACCTTTATGTGATAAATCCTTTATGTGAAATCCTTTATGTGATAAATCTATATCCTGTAGCATTTGCATCATTCTTTCTAAATGTGCACAATAAGATTGAATATTCAACTATAATGCCATCCACAACAATGACATTTTGCAGTAAATGTAGTAGAAAAGAGAGCAAACAGTTGCTCAGTTCCTATTAATGTCATTAAAAATAACCATTCGCAGCCAACACTGCTGCATGTGAGAGGCTGCCACCAGTGACCATCACTTGAGTATGGGAAAGRAAAGTGAGAACATACACGTTGGGGGATCTGCATGAGTGGAGTCCCTCAAATGGGACAGCAAGAGAGAGAACACAACCGAACACCTTGGAGAAGGCGCAGTAACGKCCATCTTTTGTAAAGGGAATCTGCAGATTAAGACTGGGGAAGGAAATGTGGCATTCCTAAATTGTGGGAATATGTCTGTGCATATGTCCCAGCATTGAAACTGGGATCCATTCTTGTGGTGTCTCGTTTTGTTAAGGTGGTAGTAGATGATGACCTGCTATAGTCAAGATTTTCTTTCTGAAGTACAAAATCATTTTTTCCACTGAACAATCATTATAGAGAAGCCTCTGGTCCCATAACTTCTCACACTCTTGGACAACCATCCTCATAACTTGCTTGCTCTGAAGCCCCTAATATGGAGGTCTTTGGCCCAGGATTGTGACTCACAGTCCCCCACACCTCTAACATCAGATCCCTCTGCCTCTCCTAGTGCAGGCTATTCCCATGCATCTCCTAGGCCAACCTGCCCGTGTTCCTGCTACACTTATTGTTCCAACGCTCATTGCCCAAGTGCCATCCCACTCCCATCTTGGTAGCACTGGTGCTACAGACGTAACTTCATGCTATGATCTTGATGTGTCTGCTGGCACTGCAAACTACAGACTATTGATCGAACAACAAATGGAAAAGGAACAGAAAAAAAAAAAAGTCAGCTAATTTCTATTAATGTCACTGAAAGAACAGTAAGGATAGGAGGAAAATTATCACAAGGTTTAAATCTTGCAAGGAATTTAAACTTGCAAGGTAATAACTACAAAGGCTGGGGTGTATTTAAATTTGTAAATGGATGTGACTTTAGTAGTTGCAGCATTTTGTCATTATTAAACAAAGATTCTGATGTTAGTGATGAGAGAATGACATACACAGCCTCTTCACCATAACAGTTCCCCGAGTTCCTTACCACACACCAGCCTTTTCAGAGAGAGCAATACTTGGACTATGGAATGCAAATCATGAAATACTATAATGTATTTTTAAATGAATTCACTTAATAAACACTGAGCAATACAGCCAGCTATGTTCTAACCTTTATTCATTATTAGTTGACATCTTTTAAATAAATGCCAAACCACAGTGTTTTCAATTAGCATTTTACAAATATATAATTACTTTATTTAATCTAAATTGACTACAGATTTCAGAAATCTTAATTCAAAGCACCATTAAGATTTTTCACTGCCAGACGGATGGAAGGAAACTCTTCTCACAAAATACCTAGTAAGACTAGTAATCAACAAATTAAGAATATGACCCAAAAGGATTTGCAGAAGGAAAAAAGGGTGGAAGATATGAGAAAGAAGAAAAGAAAAATAGTAATAAGGTGCCTGTAAAATGATATGTAGACTATCCCCGAGTATCTGACTATCCCATTTAACTTGCAAAATCCAAATTTAATTTGCTTGTTTTTTTTAAGATGTTTTAAGGGAATGAATGGAAAATTCATGAAAACTGGTTCTAAAAACTCAAGACAATTTTATTTGAAGTTAAGTGTTTTGTCTTTGTGGTCCTTGAGCCCACTGATGGTCTGTTATAAATTATACTGGCTACAGAAATCTTAGAACTTCGTACGTCCTGCTATACCATATAAGCAATAGTCAATCTGTAATATATTACCATTATATATTTGTAACATGTTCAACGTGTAACATACAATATATATTTGTAACAATGTTCAAAAAATTACCTTTCTTAGTATAGTGAATTAACTAAATGTGTTTAAAAAATACTTGAGTTTTTTAAAAGCTTCCCCTTACTTTGATTTTATTTAAGGTACTTGGAATGGGCAATAACAATTTCAGCAAAGATGTCAGGTCCTCCTGTAAGAAGTGAAGGTGAACCTGAGCAAATAGAATAGCCCATCAAAGCTAAAGAAAATTGAAATTTTTAACTGTAGTAAATACTTCCTCCCTCCAAAATGGTAAAGCTTACTATGAAAACATACTGAGTTTTTCAACTCAGAAAAGAATTTTGATGGTCAAGATAGTCTTGAAACACTAATCAGACTCATGTTAAACCAGACACTGATTGACAGATGTCATTTTTTTTCCCTTTAATTCAGTACTTCTTTTTATTTCTTGTTGAGAGGCACATATTGCTTACATGTAGAGGCCTCTTCTTGTTGAGGCACATATTGCTTACATATAGAAAAGAAAATTAGCCTTGAAATTCAAAATTTCTATGATTTTGGAGCTGTTACATACGACTGTAGTATATACCATGTTTTGTTGGGCACTAACTACATTTGATTTTTTAAAAATCATTCCAACATGTTCCACAAAAATATGCTCCATAGCTTCWCTAACACAAATGGACAAATGTCCCAGTAACAAAATTTTAAACATTCTTGTGTTTATGACAACACTAATAGTGCAGAAATCATTTCAGTTTAGGTATGTCATGTGCTTTAATCCCAAGTTTTAGAGCTAGCATATTTTTTTGACATTTTTAACTGAGAAAATACTACCTGAGCAGTAGAAACTATAAACAGCATGCATGAGAAGCTGTAAACAACTATGAATAAAAGTATCTAAGATGAAATAGGTCTATTCTATTTTTTAAGAATATTCTACTTTAAAGAATATTTATCTTAACTCCTTTTGAATCCACAAAACATCTATGTGTTCACAATGCAATGCATGTAACATGCAAGTTGTGATTTATAAATACATCACTTGGAAATTACATCAAAATAAAATTATATAATATAAAAATCACTTGAGATGAACCAGAACTGGTCTGTAAATGCCAGTGAATGACAAGTCATTACTCTCAAAGGAGGAGACTGTCAAAGGCATGAAGGGTGAGTTAAACATCTAGCACTCAACATATGTCAATATGATTTGGGACACAACTCCTATTCTTACTTTTCAAAACATATCCTATAGTTCAGGAAAAAGGGACACTTCCTCTAAGTGATAAAATGTGAAAAAGCTATATTATATTCCAAATCTACGCTTTGCAAATGACTTTTTTTTAAAGAAAATAAAGCATGACATGTAACACAGAGTACAACATTTCCTACACCAAAATCAAAGGAGAGGCTAATACAGATGCATTTATCCATTTTCCAAAACTTTAATAGTATTCAAAAATGGTTTTACACGGGCAAGTTCTTATAGCCCAGTTTTGAAAGGTTTAAATTTGACAAGCTGCTGAATTCATAACAGTGTTATGAAATATAAAGGCCAAGATCCCCAAGTACTTTACAAAAGGTATATATAGAAACTATATACCAGTCTTATTTAATTTTTCACCAAAATCTAGTCACCTGGTATGTATTAGGCAGTGCTCAGTAACATTACATAACAGTTGGAAATGCAAAGTGAGGAATACCATATCCACTGCAACCACACAGGGAATTTAGAGCAGCAGGCGGGATGTCATTACAGGAGCTGGCCCTTGGCCAGGGCACTGGAGCTAATGCTCTCTTTCTAGTGAGATGTGCCACAGGATGACTGACCTCATATGGACCTCAAGATTATGTGTCATCTGGAAGATGGCACCTACCTGCCACACCTCCTGGGCAGGGAGGGGGCCATGCATTTAATGCACCTTGCATTACTTTGGGAAGCAAAGTAAGGCATTTCTCAGGTTCTCACCTAATTCTGGTTAGACTGCAAAACAGCAAAATTTCATCAATGAGTTAGAGATAGTAGCAATCCATATGTGGATTACGTGTCATCTGTATGCTCATATACGCAGCACATATGAGCATCCAGAAAAATCCATACAAATAGCCACAACTAGCAGATAATGTAAAATAACATGTAGATATTTCAGATCGCTCATTGATATAAATAGTGGTGCTTTTATGCACAAAAAACAAATTTCCCTGCACATTAGCAGGCTATAAATTTCCAAATAAAATGTAATACTGAAAATGAAAGGTTATTTGTTTGTTTTTAATAGTGTATCTGTTTTATTAAAAGAGCAACACGTACATATCAAAACAGGTCTGGTATGAGGTGTCTGGTCACATGAAATTTGTATAAGAACAAAGGGGACAAGAAGCCATATCTGTTCTGCYCACCCATGTGTAAGTGCATATACAAGACTAGCAGGCACATGAGGCATTGTTAAATTAATGCTTAATCCTTTTTAATTGCATATAACGGAGATTTCTTTGTTAAAAGTAGGAATATCTGTCTAAATCCTCCTTCTTTCCTAAATTACCCTCCTATCTGAAATAACAACAATAATACTAAACTAGATTAGTACACTGACTACTTAATTTGCTCAAGGTTGTATATCTTGCTATCAGYCGAGATACGCTTTAACAAAGAAGTTTTATGATCATCTTGAGACATCTGTGGAAATAGCATTATGTTCCRCAATATATCATGTTAAATATGCAGCATGAATTATAGTTTTTCTATAAAAATGAACGTAAACTTCAAAAAAAAYGACTCACTTGAACATCTGTTCATATCTGGCGTTCGGAGTCCATAGTACCCTGATGGGCAGGAATGTAAGCATTCACCATACTGCCTCATTCCTTCTCTTCGTAGGAAGAAGAATAACTTATGTTGGCATCTGATGCACCCGTTATCCTTTGAACAAGATAAACAGCCTTTGCAAATTGGATTTGGTCCATAGCTAGCTGCAAAATAAGAAGATAAATCACATTTTAACATCATTCTGAAAATTATTTTGGCTGGACATCCTCTTCCCTCTTACTTATCTACTTTACAATCACAAGCAGTTTTGAAAGAAAGGCTCTGAAAATGCATTCATTGTAACGCATCTTCTCTGGCCAGAGAAAACATAAAAATAATTAATAAATAAAAAATCAAAAGCTCTTTATTTTCATTAGTATGCAGTGCCACTTAACAATAAAACGAAAAGGAGCTACTTCTTTCATAAAGGTACAGGTGACTGGAAACCAAGGCGAATAAAGTTCAGCAGCATAACATGAACAAAATCCAGGTGCTGAATTCCAGCTTGCAGCTGAGCCCGTGAGCCGAGCACAGCAGCAAACATGGAGAGGACATTGGCATYAGGATATATCCACCTGTAATGTCATGGTCATTTGTTTCCAGAGACTACTCTAGTGCTTCTGAGGAATGAAAAATGAGAGTGCACTTGGATCCCTTTCCAGGGCTTGTGAACAGAGAGGAGCTGAGAGCACCAAGCTTGCTCTGCTGAGAAGGAGCAGAAGGAGCAATGATGGTGCCAAAGGCAGCATCCACGGGCTGTCCCCACCTGCTGGGGTGCCAGGGAGGCTGCCCCTTGCAATCACTGCTCAGGTTTTCTAAGTAGGGTGTCAAGATCTGCAAGTTCCTGCCCCAAATGGGCTCGAAATCTGTGCACACAGACAGTACCAAAGAGGGACCTTCTGGTCTAGGTCAGCAGCTGCTGTGTCTTCAGCTACTTCACACTCTCTTGTTCTCTGAGCAGAGTGATACAGCAACACGGAGCTGAGCTGCAGCACTCYGTTTTCGGGAGCTCTCTACCCTGCCCTTCTCTGGGGCTGCACATCACTCCCTGTCCARACTCCACCAGGGCTTCCTCGGGCACTGAGTCAGCACAGCAATTAGCAGCAGGAGGGCTCAAGAGGCTCCTGAGATCAGAACAACTTCCTTGGAAATATAACAGGTCCGTTTAAAATAGCGCATTAGCCACAGGACTTCAATGAATTTTGCCAATTCAAACCTGGTTTACTGGAAACAAGGAGAAACCTTCTTCAGCAAAGTGTCTTTGGGGTGTCCAAAACTTTTCAATAGCAGTCACTCTGAGGGCAGCTTGCCAAGAGGGCAAAGATTGTGTTTGACTGTTACATTTTAAGACAATTAGAATTATCCAGACCTTACTTTGGGACTTTTATCCCATATGGATCCTTAAGAGGGATCACTCAATGGCTGACTTCACCAGCAGAACTGGGAGAAGAAAAAAGAAAAGCCCGACACCCTCTGGAAGCAGTAGCTGATCAGCTTTACTCTCACCTTCACACATGTGCACAGCACATTGCCACTCTCCCGTGCTCCCGTCCGTGCACATGCCTCCCCCAGCTCTGCACGACAGCATCCAGCTCTTATCTTGCACAAAGTCATCCTGGTGGGTGGCAGGCAGGACGGGGAGCCAAGCAATCTGGTGTGAAACAGCTCAGTCAGTGGGACCTGGACGAGCGCTGGAGTCTCCTGACACTGCTCACCTGCTAGKGAGACTCTCCACACGTCAGTAGCATCCGTTTCTTCTGCACTGTCTGTACCGTCCTCCAGCCCTTAGCCATTTGTAGTACTATGCCCACTCAGAGCAGCTGCCCTGCACTCCTGAACCACTGCTTATCTCCTCCTGGTCTCCCCAAGACCTTGGATGCAGCTTTCCCTACAACTCAGCTAATAAATGCTCTCACCCACAGTCCACATCTTCAAAGACATACAAGAAGGGAAGCAAGCAGATGATGAGCTAGGCCTGAGCACATCCCTCATCTCACTGTCGGCAGGGGTTGCAGATCTSTAACCACATCAAATATCATGTGACCGTGTACTGCAAAACAATTGTTGCTGAACACATGGTGGGTAGTCCCATAGACCTCTAAGCCCCTTTTTATTCTCCTTGCATCTCATTCATACCTTCAGCTTGTTCAAGATTTCCCGAAGAACTCTAACTAAAGAATTAGAGCGAACAAAGTACAAGGTAAACTGCAAGATGTTTCAGTTTATTCAACACTTGTAAATTCTTTGGACTTCAAATCAGCTGAAGTTAGGATCCCATATGCAGCATAGTGTTYCTTCCCTGAATCAAGAGTGTGTTTTTTCTCTCTCTTCCCCTTGAGCAGCTGAAGGACATGATGCCAAAAAGAACAGCTCCCTGGGTCACATCAATTCAGCCTTTGCTGTCCACACTCCGTCACACAAGTCCTGGGCTCCCTTCCAGAGCGAACTAACTCCCTCCAAAGCGTGGCCCACGTATGTTTGTGGGGACAATCCACTCCGGGGAGCCCTCGCAGCAAGAATAAGGCTGCAGTGCTCAGCACTTCTCACTTCTCCAACCTCTCCAACACATTTTAGCAGCCCTCAGCAGGGTGCCTCAAAAGACTCACACTCATACACAGCTGTCATGAAAACACTACCCAAGGAGGCATTGCACAACCCTTAWATTATTTCAGGAACTTCCAAGACAGATAACAATATTATATTATGACCTAGAACAACTCTCTAAGGCCTAGAAGAAACATAAGGCTACGCAGCACTGATGCAGCCACTCTGGTGGTCACTCATGGTTTAGGAGATGGAGGCCACAAAGCTTACGGTCTGCATAAAATATATGCAAAGTTCAAAGTATGTTGTATATATTTATCTCCAAAGTCAACACACGATCACATCTAGTCTCTTCACTTCTGGGTGACACCAAAAAATCACTGTTGGGATAATATCTGTGCCTGGATTTTTTTCTCTCATAGGAATGCTAGGAGATCCAGTTCATTCACGCTCACAAACTACTCTGAAACCCTCAGATGGAAGGTGTTATAGATGGGAAATGTTTATCACTACTTCAATAATCAATTATTAAACTGTGGCCCATCCGTTTTGCATAACATATCAAGGTCAAAATGTTCACATATTTGATGGTCACAATAATGTCTTTCTTTCTTGCTCTCCTAGTCATCAAGTACTGGTAAATTTTCTTCTATTGCATCCTTTCTATCACTTCAACTTTTCAAAAAACAGGAGAAAGTCACAATAGGCTCCATCTCTAAATTACTTGGACACTGATCACATTCTTTATTGAATCAAAATATTGTAGCAGTGTTTTCAGTGACACATATAAGTCCTAAGACAACAAATCAACTTTCTTTGTCCCTACATATACAGGTTATAAATCAAATCCTATCATGTCTAACCCCCATCTTCTCTTTCTCTACACTGGTCATGCAACAAATGCAAAATACCTTTAGCACACACAGCTTTTCAATTCCAATTTATTTGCTCTTTGAAGGAGGAAGTGAAAAGCATCTCTACATTCACCATAAAAATCTAAAATCTTCCTAGAATAATCTAAACTTCTCCTTTTGGAGTCYTTCATAACCTCTCTTTCCCTTCTGTATAGACTGCAAGAGAAAACAACACAGTTCCAAGCAGTCAATCACACGCCAAGTTACCACTTGCATCGTGCACCATCACACACACATCCATCACACCCTATCTCAGCCGTCCCACACCCATTTCCACCCTGCCTCTCACGCCTGGAACACCCTCCTTGACTGTGTGTGCCGGCAGCCAGGTTTTCTCCATTCGACTCCCTCGGGAAAATTCGCTCTTTACACGAGGCCCACAAATGCTGAGCAGTGTCAGAGCGCTGCTGTCATCACATCATAAAACTCAAAGCACACACATGCTCCAAGTTAGCACCATCCTCCGGGTCCCAAAGTGCATGAGTGCCCCGGCTGGCTGTTGGGACTGTGACCTCCTGGCAGCAGTAGCAATGCTCTGTACAGCCACAMAAGTGCAGGTGTGGGTGTGAACACCTCATGCACATCTCCATACAGACTTATTTTCTATTTATTTCTATTTTCTACGGATGTATTTTCTATTCCTTGTTTTCTGCCTCTCTAATCATACCCCAGAGCATCTCTGCCTATAAAGAAAAAGCATTTAGACTTGGTTCCCCATGTTGCTTTTTTGTTTTAAATCTGGGATTAAGTATGGCAAGTTAAAAAAAGGTTACTTGAGAACAGAGACTAGTACCCAAACATTGACTGAAAAACTCCTGAACTCTAAGGGTATTCAAAGTTTCATGGTTTGGATTCATATCAAGGAAAATCAAATGTCAGTTAATTACTTTAACTCTTGTCTGGRTCGAATGTATTGAAAATGCTTCAGCAATATCGCTTAAAGTGAATTGTTATGACTATTTGAAATCACAAGAGAATCAACAGTACAAAATGAGTCTAGTCTGTTCACCACAATAATACAAGCTGTTCAGTGAGCAAAAGAACTAACAGCATCTGATTTCCTATGGATTTTAATGTCTTACAGCCCACTTCAGAAAAACCACTGTAAATCTGTCTTGTATACCCACTTGCGCGCTGTCAGAAATCTCTTCAGAAGCTGGTGTAGTGTTGCAGTTCACTACAAGAACTTGGTGTTTTTTGAGATTTTTACATTTCTGTAAAGCTGAACTGAAAATGAAAAATGGGTTCAAAAACTGTTGCAGGAAGAGGAAGGTCTGGCAGAGAAAACAAGTGACAGAAAATGCTGTTAACTAAAAATGATTTCCTTAGAAGGTCAGATTGAAATGCTGCCTACCACAACCTGATCAGAGTAAATATCCTCCAGTCTATTTCTGGTCTTTTGAACTYTCTGAAGTAAGAAACTGGGCTTATWGGTACCAGAACCAGCTTAACTGAAGTCTTTCCCTGACTGGGGTATGTTGGTGATGAACTGGATTTTCACAGAATCACAGAATGGTTAAGGTTGGAAGGGACCTCAGGAAATGATCTAGTCCAACCCCTCTGCTCCAGCAGGGCCACCTGGAGCGGGTGGCACAGGAAATTTTAGGTTAGATTTAGTAGAAATGTCTCTGAAACGCTCATTTATCACTTCAAACATGAGGTATACAGAAGAAACTCAAAGGACTAAAATACTAGTAGCT